GATATCCAGTTTTAATGTTCTTTAGCTGTAGTGACCCTGGACAACCAATTGAACATCTCTGTGTCTCCATTTTATAATGTGTAAAATGGGTTTGTATTGGTTATTATGTGGAATAGCATTCAGAACAAAATTCAGCACACAGTACACATAACTGAGTATTGACTGTCATTTATTTAGTGTTTTGAAGTGCATAAAAGATCTGTTTCTTATTATGAGCTCCTTGCCACAAGCTAGAGGAAAGATGATGTTAAAATGACCTGCCTATAACCTCCATCCAAGCAGATATATGCATACCCGTGTTTATCACGGCTTTGTTCACAATAGCAAGGAGTGGAAACAACCTAAGTGCCATCAACAAATGAATGGATAGAGAAGCTGTGGTATATTCACACAATGCAACACTACACTGCATTGAAAAAAGAAGGAACTCATGCAATATAATTCAAAATGGGTGACCCTCGAGGACATTATGCTGAGTGAAATATCTCAGTCACAAAAGGACACTGCTGTACAATGGGACTGACATCAGGGTTAGGGTAAGAATGAGAAAAACTAGATGAATTATGTATACTGCATTGAAACCAATGAGGGAGAGAACAGTTTAAGAACAATATATTTTAGGGCATTATGATTATCATAAGAGTCTGCAATGAGGGTTGCAGAGTGGAGTATACTCAGGGTGGGGGTGGGGGAGTGCAGGGGGATTGTATACCAATGAAGGAATTTTTCTCTTACTTTTCAAAGAGAAGAGCGAACTGGGGGTGGGGGTGGAGTGAGCGGGGAGAAAAGTGCAACAATGAATGAATGGAAATCCAAAATCTCTGTAGATGTTCATTGAAATTAATTAAAACAAAAAAACAAAAAAACCTGGCCTGCCCAAAGCTGGTGCCAGCACTCCAGCTCAGCAGCTCTCTTTCCCATTCCCTTGCCTTGCAAATGAGAGAGCAGTCCCTGAGAGGAGTGGCTTAAGAGAAGAATGGAGCTGGGTAATGATTCTGTGTTTGGAGGCCAGATTTCTTTCTTCCAGTAGGTGTGAGACCTGCTTGCTGGTTTGGCATTGCAGTGAGATAGTACACACACCTGGCCACTCCCACCCCTGCTCCCAGGCCAGAAGGAGTCTAGGAAACTCTGCCGATGAAGCTCAGGCTCAGGACAAAAGTCGGCCAGTGAGCCAAGGGCCACAATGATCTGTGCACTATCTTTATGCAGAGACCCAGGCATCAACATGTTGACATGTAGGGGACCTCTGCGTTGGGCGTTTTCCGTCTTGTTGATGTTGACATCACTCTGAAAAGACTCGGCAGCACTGAAGAGCTCAGCCCTCCTGTGCACAGCCGTCCCCCACCCTCAGTGGTACTTACTCCTGAGTGAAGAGACAGTGAGCAGAGGGTAATTGCCTGTTTGCTCTGCTGCCCCCCACCCCAGCGGAGGTGGACACCCCTGCTGACAACAGAGCATCCAAACTGCCTGAATTAAGCTGTGCCACAGTAACTATCCATGTCACCCAGCATGAGACATACGGGCTCCAGGCTCTGTTAGTTACCTCTAATGTTAACTATTCCCTGCCTTAAGAGGTTGTTAGGAGAACTAAAGTAAGTCTTTCCCAAGTACACTGACAGTGGTCTCAATGTGTGCTGTCAGAAGCATGGTTCCTGGCTGAGCTTCTAACCTAGAAAGGGAGGCTCTTCCAACAAAGGTAGGGAAAGAGTTGAGTGGCCAACCCAAAAGGCATGTGCTTCGAATCCACGAGCTGCTTCACAGGAGAAAGTTAGGCAATCTACTGTGCAGTTTACAGCCTTTGAGAACCCCCGGGAGCTATGAGTTTGTTCCAACTCAATGATGTATAACCACAACAACTTTTAGGTTGGTGCCAGTGGAGCCATGGAAGAAAGACCTACCACTCTTCTTCTGTAAAGATTGTTATGTGTTGCCAAGTCAAAACTGACTCTTATCTGACCCTTCAGTGGGTTTTCCAAAAGCTGTAAAGTACACCAGAGAAGATTTCGCTCCCATCTCTCTCCCACAGAGCAGCTGGTGGATTTGAATTATCTACTTTTGGGTTGGCTAGCCAAGAAAACTTTATGGAGCAGTTTTACTCTGTAATACAAGAGGTGTGTATGAGTCAAAGTGCACTCAGTGACAGAGTTTACGTACAGAAGATAGATAGATAGATAGATAGATAGATAGATAGATAGATAGATAGATAGATAGATAGATAGATACTGATACAGAGTTGCATAAGTTAGATACTTATATAGGAGAGTATATGTCTGTTTATTTACCTACTTAACAATCTATATGGAAAGTATATTCAGTACCATGTAATGTGTTTCATGTAATCCCTGCTCTTAGGCACAGAAAAATTGCTATTTCTGTTAAATTAAAAAAAAAAACAAAACTGCAGTTAAGTAACTGATCCAAGCTCCCACACCTAGAAAGAAGCTCCTGAACAGAATCCCAGATAAGCACAAAGAGATAAATCTAATGAATGTGCTCTCTCTTCACTCACACATACTCCATCATCAGAAGGACTTCTGCCCCCTAACGATGGCTGTTAAATATGGGTGATATCGGCTGTACCCCAGACAGGTTAAATCAGAACCTCCAGAGTAGAGGCTGGGGAATCCTTGGTTTGGTTTGGTTTTTGTGTTGGTTTGCTTTTGTTGTTTTTTTTTTTTAAATAGCAAATAAGTACCCCCAGGGATTGGTATTTAGACATCAAGTTCTGTCTCAGCATCAGAGGCCAAACACAGGGCTTCTCAGAATGCTCTGATACCTGGTACAACTAATAACTCATTCCCAGTGTGCTTTGGTGAAGCATTAACCCCAGTGAAGCTCACTCATCAGCAGTAAAAGGAGATGGGCCAAAATCCCTGCCCTGTGCAGCTCATGGGCGTGTCAAAGAATGATATGAAAAAGCCAGGACAGCACTTCACTCAGTGTTCTTCCCAAGAAAGTGAACTTGTCAACACCACCACAAAATTATTTTTTATAAAACTTTTATACTGGTTTACTTACTAAGTTTGTATACATTGTTTTTCACACCGGATCTTTCCCATATCTTTTACCTAAATCTCCCTGCACTCATCAAATTGTGCAACCCTAGAATTACCCCCCTGCCTGTCCTAACTCCTCTGCTCCTCGCCCCCATCCTCATACACATCTTACTAGTTATCTTTCTATTTCTACAATAGTGGTTTTATATCGTATTTGTCCTTATGAGACTGAGTTAGTTCACTTAGCATAATGCGCCCCAGTCCTGCCCAAGTTAGATACTAATTTTCAAATCATTGCTTCTACATGCTTTGTAGTATTCCATCATGTGAATGTCCCATAATTTCTCAATCCATTCAATTGTGGTTGAATATTTGGGCTGTTTCCATGTTCTTATGATGGTGAATAATGTTGCTATGAACATAACACCACAAAATTTTAATTATCTAAAAATCAGTCTTCAGTGGTTCATCTGGAAACCTAGTAGTCCTGCCAACATTTAAAACCTCCTGCTTGGGCATTCTGATTTCAAAAGAATGCACACCAAAAAAAAAATTTTGAGTACATTTGTTTTTCTCAACTTTCAGGAATGCCTCTATCCAGTGCAATTTTCTCTCCTAGACCTGAGGAAGAGAATGCATTTCGTGAAAACCTTCATATATGAAAATTAGATGGACTTCCTAGCTATTGGTCTCACTGGGCAGGCACACCCTCACACAACCACTGTCCTCTCTTCTCCAGGCCAGAGGACTTCCTTTTCTATAAACAGCCTCTGTTCCTGCCTAACAGATATCTTTAAACAAAAACAAATGCTTCTGATGAGGCTGATTTGTGAAATGGATCTGAATAGTGTTCCGTAAACTGTAAACCCCCCAAGTTATATCTGTGCCATGATGATAACAATGAAAAATTACAATAGCTCCGCTTCACTCAGCCTGTCTGTGTGCCCAAACCTGTGTGAACCAGTAATCTTCGTAACCCTCTTGGTATATGTTGTTATTCCTGTTTGCTGAGGTTTAGAAAGTCTATCTTGGAAAATCGTGGGACTGTTTAATTCCTAACAATAACTGTTCCAGGATTCAAACAGAATTCTAGGTTCTTACCTACAATAAGAAGCGCTGGCAGCTCTGTGGTTAGAAAGCTTATCTGCTAACCCGGAGGTTAGCAAGCAGGATGGAAGTGTTTTGTCCACTTCAGCACAGATTTACAGCCTCAGAAACCTGTAGGGCAGTTCTCCTCGGCCCTCCAGGCTCACTCATGGTCCCAAATGGACTCAGCAGCAGTGAGCTTCCCCACTGAGCAGTTTTACAAAGTTTTTCAGTTTAACTCATACATGGATCAGGAGAAAATCAAGAGCCGGGGCTATGTTAGAGCAAGAGGATTGTGGTTGGTTGGTTCTTTATTTAAAATAAATGTTGACGTAAAAAAATTAGGCAATAAAGAAATCCAGGTAATGGGAGAAATTGTATCTAAAGATCTACATGGATTTTATGATCAGATGTTAAGAATTTTATTACAAGAGACAGAAGTTAGCCTGGAAAAAGAAGACCTCACATACTCACCTCACACCCTGCTCTCACCCCTCTATAACCCCCTAAGCTTTTCCCACTGAGATCAAAGGCCCACCTTAAGAGGTTTGGATGAGCACAGAGCTGCAGGGGAACTGGGGTTGGTTTGCACTGAGTCTTGCTTAATGCTTTTCCACCATGGCCTTTGAAAAGGACCACACACATCAGCGTAGGGCTGGCACCACCACCAGTTAGAGAGCCCTAGCTACCTCCTTGGAGAACAGTCCTTCGTTCACCCCACATTCATCCTGGCCCCCACCTGCTCCAACACTTAATTCACACTCCTTTTGTGAGGACTTAATTGGTGCCAAAAAGAAAAGGAAATGCTCTTGTTCTCACTGCTGGACAAGGACATCCTCACCCTCACCCTCACCCTACCCTCCTTGTTCCGGGCCAAGAGTCCCTTTTCCCTAAGCACCTTCTCCTCCTTCCCAACAGATATCTGCCAGTGAAATTGAAATGCTTCTGATGAGGCTGCCACGCATGTTCAAACAAGAATTCACGGGAGTGGGAGCAACGCTGGAGAAAAGGTGGAAGTTGTGTGCCTTTGAAGGAATTAAAACACCCTAACGGTGAAGAGAGAGAGAGAGAGAAAAAAAAAAAAAACAAACCAACAGACCACTGGAGGTAAAATCGAGTGACACCGGCCGGAGCTGGCACCTGAAGGCGAGAGAGGTGGTTGGTCCAGCGCAGGCCGTGGCCACACCACCAAAGCCTGACTCTAGTTCCATCTGTGATGTTCCCTCGTGAGTGGAAATGTAATTGTGTTCCAGTTCCTTACCGTAAATAAAAGCTTCATACTGTGACAGATCTGCTTCCTATGAAAACCAAACAGTGATTCCACAGTCATAAAGATGGGGAAAAATAAAATATCTCCAAATACGCTCCATTTGAGGCCAGCTCACCAAACAAAATATTTAAAGTTCATGATGGTGTAGCAATGGTTGTTACTAGGCTGCGGAGTTGTATATGAAATGTATAGCTGAAATCATTAAGTGACATTTTCTTGAAAGTTTATCTTTCTGTTTTAGTACAAAAGAAATTTTACAGTGAGGAGAGAAAAAAATCAAACCAAAACAAAACTTGAATATATGTCTGAACAGTTATTGTATTTTGTAAATTAAGTTATATGCTGTTCCAGGGACTTTTGCCTTATTGAAGAGGCAGAAAATGTGATTGGACTCCTTGAGAATGCTTTATTGAGAATATTATTTTTCTAATGTAACAATTCTCCATCTTAAGTTCTTTTGACATGGACTGCATAACAATTTTCATAAAATGTAAATAAAGGAAAAACTAGTGCTACTGTCTTGTACTTGGTATGTAACATTCAGGTTTATGCATCAAAATAAACATTCAGTAAATATTCCTGTTACAGATTTTATAGCAAAGATATTAATTTTTTTCAATAAATATGACTTCTACCATATTGCTTTTGCAAATTGCTTTGATTTTTAACTCTTTGAAAAATATCCTCCTCACTATTAACTCTCACTTCATAGCTTATCATTTTTATGTTAGTAAGTACAGAATATTGACATGAAAAGATTAACTTTATCTCAAATGGTTGGTAGTGGTGTCAAGTGCTGTCGAGCTGACTATAACGCATGTTGTTGTATGCCATCAAGTTGGAACCAACCCGTAGCTGACTCTACAGAGGGTTTTCAGAAGCTGTAAATTGCATGGGAGGTGATTGCACATCTTTCTCCCTAAGAGTAGCTGGTGGATTTGAACTGTGTGCCTTTGATTGACAGAGTAAATCCTCATCACTTAGACCACCAGAGTGCCCTAGGTCTCACAGTGACCTACCTTGCATCATCCTCACCATTTCCAATCTGTTCCAGCCTAGTGTTACAATCAACCACCATGTCAGTCCATCTTGTTGAAGGTCTTCCTCTCTTTCGCTGACTGTACACTCTTCAGCATGATGTCTTTTTTCCAAGGACTGGTCCTTTCTGACAACATGCCCAAAGAATGTGAAACAAAGTTTTGCTAACCTTGCCTCTAAGGAGAACCTGGACTGCAAATAATACATTAAAATTCTGAAATAGTACCAGAAGGCAGTTACATAAGAGAAGACAATTGTTTTAAAATAACATAGTATCTAAATATAGCCAGATAAATTTTGCCTGTCATATGTCTTACTGTTACAATGTAGCAAATATGTTCATTAACTCCTGAATTTATTTGCATGTTTACTGACAAAAATATGCAATTTAGGAAGGAATTAGGGAATTTATGCTTAAACGTTTTCCTAATCCTTTTAATTATAAATATTGCTTAAAATGTAGCCCCTTTCTGCTGTCTTACCAAAAATCATAAAAAAGGGTATTGAGGATATTAATTAGTTCTAATGATTTTTAAATTCTTAATCATATAACTGTTGTTAGTACCACGGAGTCAGAACTGACCCATAGCTGGCCCTCTGGTCGGTTTTCAGAAGCAGTTAATCATGAGAGGAGATCACCCATCCCTCTGCTATAGCTGGTGGATTCAAACCACGTACAATTGGGATTGAATCACAGGTTCTTCCCACTACACCACCAGAGCTCCCTAATTATTTAATTACTTAAAATTACTTCTATAAAATAACAACTGAGCAGTAGTTCTTGAAATTCCAAAAAGATATCATAATTTCATATTGGATTCTACTTTCAGAAGTTTTTTTAATTAATACTTGATAATTGAGAGGTTTTTATCTCCCATAAGTATTTACTTATATGTTATATTCAGGCTGGACACCAATGCTATGGATAAAATTATTAGGAAAGGATTCTCCCCTTAATGACCTCAGAGTGCTATGACAAAGAAACAAAAAATCCTGGCTGTTGTGAGTCATATGACAAAAAAAAAAAAAATTAACAAGTGTGCTATGGAGATCAAATTCAATGCCAATATGTTAAATGACATTAAGTTCTAATTGGAACTCTGCACATACACCAAGCCTTTGTGAACTCAGAGAGAAGCAGAGGTATCTCATATCAAGGTACCTTTTCCTAAACACACAATTCTAAAATCTGAACTGACAACTCATAAAATGAAAATGATTAGTACAGATTTCAGATTATTTGAGTAAATTCCCTAATATAACCTTCTGCACCGGAGAACCCATGTTGGCTATGATGTTTTTATTGAAGAAGATTGTATTACTTGATGATGTGTGTCTTTGAGTCAGAACTGACTCATAGCTGACCCTCCAGCAGGTTTTCAGATGCAGTAAATCACACAAGAAGAAGTTGCCAATCTCTTTCCTGTAGAGCACATGGTGGATTCAAACCACATGCCTTTGGGCTGGGCAGGGGAGCTCCTTACCACTAAGTCACCTTTTATAAGTTATCTCAAAACTCTGTTTTCTTTCTCAAACATTATATTCTTTCTCCATACCCAGAGCTTTTAAAAGGATTTCACTCATCATTGTTCAAGGAGTTATAGATTAATGGTGTTTTGTCCCTCCATGTTTCCCTTTGCAAAGTATTTTCTCCAATAAATTTTCCCCCTGCTTGCACATAAAAGCATGAACTTCTGCTCTGTCACTTCCACTCAACAAAGGAAGACAAAGGAAGAACCCAAATCTAAGGAGGGTGCTTGACAAACTTTACTGGTGACTACACCAAGAAAGCTGTCTGGCCACACTTTTAAAAGGCACTTTCCCCCACCCAGTATTGAAAACAAGTCTTTGTGCTCCCTCCTCTCATACTGGTAGGCATGTCACTATATTGTACACACACAGTGGAGGTGAAAGGAAAGAGAATGCTTTCCCCCACAGGGGCGGGGAAGCAAATCAATTGCCCCTTACTACCCTTAACCTTTCCACTCCTATTCACCATAAACACCAAACAGACAAGATTAGTACATTTTTTAAACTCACCAATTAGATGTTTTCCTCTGCATTGATAGTTGTGAAAGATCGGTCCTTGAGGGCTCCAGGTTTCAGCACCAAAATTTACCATGGAGTTGATGCCCTGGCTTTAGTCTTCCTCACATAGCTAAAGAATGAAACCAAATGGGAGGGACTTGAGGGGACAAGATCCAGGCTACAGGAGTAGCACGGTGTACAGCAATTTTAGTGGCCCTTATAAGAGCCATTGTCAGTGTTAAATGTCCTAATGTAGGTTAATCACTTCTTACAGCAAGTGGGCCCAATGTAGCATCCAGCTTGCTGAGAGAAAAGGTGAGGAGACAGGAGCAAAGGTGAAAGGAAAGGCAATTTAAGGGAAGATATGTTCCAGGGAGGGGAATGAGTCACTTTCCATTGAAAGGAAAGAATGAAGAGGAATAATTATATACTTGATTAGATGTTGTGTACCATAGAGTCAGAGTGACTTATAACTGACCCTCTGGTGGGTTCTGAGAGTTGCCCATCCTTCTGCAGAGCAGCTGGTGGCCTTTGGGATTATAGCACAGCTTCTTGCCACTAGGCCACAAGAATATGAATTCTGAGTATTTCAGTGGCATGAATAGCTTATTTTTAGAAAAAAAAATTTAAATCCACAGGTTCAACTAGGACTTTAGAGATCTCCACTAGAAGGAAGCTAATATTGGTGGCTGAGAAAGCCACCAGCCGCTCTGTGGAAAAAGGATGGGCAGTCTCCTGTGAAATTAACTGTGTGATTAATTTCCTCAGAAAACTCACTGGATGGTCAGCTGTCAGCCAGTTCTGACACTATGGTACACAACAACAACAACAACATCATGTATATTCAGAACAGAAAAAGAATCAATGCCTTGGAGTTGGGTACTGGAGAAGAGTACTGAATATCCCATGGACTGACAAAAGAACAAACTGATAGGCCCTGGAAAGGATGTGACCAGAGAGCTTATTGGAGGCAAGGATGATAAAGCTTTCTCCTTCATACTTGAACTAGGCAAGGCTAATCTTTGGAAAAGGACATCATTCTTGGAAAGATGGAGGGTGAGTGAAGAATGGGAAGACCTCCAACAAGATGGACTGACACTAACTTGAGCAGTGGACTCTAGTATCTCATAGATGATGAAAATAGCACATGATAGGGCAAATTTCAGGTATGAGTCATTACTTGACAGCACCTAACAACAACAACAACAATTGTATCTTAATTTGTATACCACTGAGTCGGAACTGACCCTAGCTGACCCTTCACTGGGTTTCCAAAGGCAGTTAATTGCACAGGAGAAAATTGCCCATCTTTCTCCCATAAGCAGTTGGTGGATTTGAATGGTGTATGTTTGGAATTGCATGCAGCTTCTTAGCACTAGGTCACCAGGGTTCCCTACAACTACACACACACAGAAGGAGAAACATACATATTTAATACATACAACACCCCTGAGATGTTCCCTACCTCAGACAAGGGCTGTTACTCAGTTAAGGGTGTTGATCCTCTTGTAAAGGATCAAAGCTGATCATATCAGTCCACATCCTAGGAGATAACTACATCATCACACACATACCACATTACCGTTGTTAAGCACTATAGAGTACAACTCATGGTGACCCTGTCAACAACAAATTTGAACCTGTCCTATCTGGCATCATCCTTATCACCCGTGACACACTTGAGCCCATAGCTATAGACAACGTATCAATGCATGAAGCCGTGT